ATTCGTTTCATTTGTCACGTGAAAGAGCTCGGGTCTCTTTTGCTCTCATTCATCTTCACATTGTGGTGTGTTTTTATTTCTTGGCTTTTCGCATGGTTTTAATTGCTTATGGCATTTTGTGTACTTTGTAGACTTTGTCGGAAGCAAACCATGTTGCCTTCAGTATTTAGTGTCGGAGAACCTTCTTTACAACGCCCACAATAGGGCTAAAGCGCCACCTGCTGTAAAACGAATGAAATGATTAGTTCAAGATTCGTTAAAGACTCGTTCATTTTACTGTTCGAGAGTCAAAGATTCGAATCAATAAAAAGAGTCGGTCTTCCCATCACTACTACACATGTATACATATTCATCAAATATGCATACACACGTACAGACACACACATACATCAGCATTGCGTGAGCATACACATATATACACATACCTAAACATATACCTATAATAAAATATAAAATACATTTATTGGTAGTACTCTATAGAAGGAGTAAAGAAAAAGTAAGAAAAGTAAAGCGGAAGTGGTGAAAACGGATTAGTGCTGCACAGCGACCAGAAGGCTGTTGCCGTCAGCATTAGCACCATCTTGTATTTACGGTTAAATTGTGGACAAAATCAGGTGAGGACAATGCTTTTTTCTTTTTCTTTTAGTTTATTTAGCCATTGTGTTGAGTGCTTGCACGGCCATCAGAACCCTAAGAACCTCGATTGTTCAAATATTATTTTCATAGTTAGCATGAATATATGTATATATGTATATATATATATTTGTTACTTCAAATCTATTTCACCAATACAATGGGGGCAGTTGCTTGGAATGGCTTCATTATAGCTCTGGTTACAGCTGAGAAGAAAGGAATGGATCGCCTCTTATTTGGTGTGGTCAGATGCCTTTTTAGGGCCTCGATAGTAATATTATCATTGTGTTGTAATTTTGGAAGCACCGAGGCCACATCAAACATTTGAGCCAGGTCACTAAAGATTGCCTTGTAGATCCTCTTCACGTGTTTATCTTTTTTGGTGTTTACAATGATGTCGCTGGGATTTATCTCTTGCCATGCCTTTCCTGCCACGTCATGAACAGTTTTTCGGATACTTGCTTGGCACATTGATGCCTTTGCCTTCTTTATAGAGTACATCAAAAGTCCTGTAACCACTGTGACAATTACTTCGTACTGCTGTTGAGGGTGTAGAAAAGAAATATCTGAATTAAGATGGTGCGAATCTTGCGATTCATTTTTGTCCTCCTTGCTACCCTGCAAGCATTCGGGCTGACCATTTGCATCATTGTTGTTTTGAATATGGATGTCGTCCGTCAGAATTGGCATCAGTGTGGACTCTGATGTGCAGTACAGAATAGCGCCATGAGTAATGTAATGTTTGTTCAGTTCTTTTTTCCCTTGTTCGTCATGAATGCAGGACGACCTGTTCTCCTCCACCAATTGCTTTGTACACTTGCAATCGGAACGCCGCATGCATTCGAGTGTTTTCCTGGCAAGAGCGGTCATTTGACCGCCGGACTCCACGCTGATCTTTTCACAGTCGAAACTCCTGTCTCCCAGATGAAACGTGTTGGAGTTCATTTCCGCTGCGACCTTGGAGTTGACTATCATTGCTATCTCTTTAGCCATCAGTTGATTGAGTTGTTTAAGGGTGCCACAGTGAGCGTGCGGAGCGGTGTTTCTTGTGAGAGCGAGAGTGCACGGAAGAACAACGTTCATGTTAGAGGAGACGTACTCGTCATCTATACCGAAGAAGCACTTGTCTCCTTCAACAAGTGAGTATATTAGCGGCCGTTTTCTTAGCCACTCTGTCATGATGGGACTCAGTTGTTCCATGATATACTGAACAATCTCACTTACAACCTCTTGGCAGAAACACGCTAAAAAGTCATTATCAACCTGAGATTCATATTCAGTCTCAACCATATAATAGCGAATCAAAGAATAGAGTTTAGGATTAAACAGAAGCTTAGAAAGAGACACTTGTGGGAACCTGACATGAGCAATCAAACTTAGTTCGGATGCAGCCATGGTTGTGTTTGTCCTTATCCGAGAATCATCTCTTTGACATATCACATTAGAGTACTGGGTCCTTTTATTTCTTCAGAATTCCGTGTGGATTTGCAACAACAGCATTTATGATCTTATTCCATATTGTCTCCCTTTGTATCATTATATTCGATATTTTTTTCCTTCCTAGGAGTAAGTTAATTTGTCCTAATGACAAATTGAGTTTGTGTATGTAGTACTTGCTTGATAAACAACTTGTAAAAACCTTTTCAAAAAGATAAACTGCTGTTCTTCCGTCACGTGTAGGCCCTTCCTTTGATCTGACTCAAAGACAGATGTAAGGCAGTGAGGTCACTGTAGCCACTAACAATTTGTTCATTGTTTGGCTTTTTTCCATCCATCCATCCATTTTCATCCGCTTATCTGTTACCGGGTCAGGGGGCAGCAGTCGCCACCCAAATCACATTGCACCGTACAAACCCCCCAAACCTTCCTGCGGGTGGTGAGTCCACCGCCATAACCGGGATTCGAACTTGCCCAGGAGGTGAACCCTCTCTCTGTCACCAATGACAGAGACATTGCCTCTGGGCCAAAGTGCCACCCTGGCTTTTTTCCATTTCACTTTAACCTTTTAAATGACAAATGATAGGTGGACTTTGTATAATATGTGACCCAACTTATTAAAGGTGTGCTGCACTTATCAATGTTTTTGTTGGTGCCGAAAATTACTTTAGTTAGTTATTCAGTCACCACTGTTGTCATCTAACTGCCGCAGATAGAATGACCTGAAAAGAACCACACCTGACAACGTTGTACTTTTTACTCGCTGCGAGGGGGAGCAGAGAGACCAACAGCTTCGCAGAGCTGGCTCACCTAAGTCCCAAAGTGTATGAGGACTGCAGCTCTATATATGTATAATAATGATCTAACCAGTTATACTTCAATACAATATTATCCAGATGACTACAGTGTGTTTTTGTTTGTTTGTTTTATTTTGGTGTTGTATGCACCTCTCTGGGTTATTTTGGTGCTTCTGCCTGATTAGTGCCTAAATACTGCCGATTGTCCAACAGACCATTATTTAACACACTTAGATAAATTTTGGTGCTTCTGCCTGATTAGTGCCTAAATACTGCCGAACGGTGGCTTTTTATTTTTTTATTTTTTCATTCTTAAATCCTCTGCTCTGCCCGGGCGGTCAACTCTGGTGTTTAAAATTGTTTTATAAAAATAAAGTTGCTTTGTGATTTAAATGATATCTAATAGTGATAGCATATTGAGCGGCATCAATGAGCATGCGATTTACACAACGGTGGCAGTGTAAATGGAGCTTCGGATGAAGCAGATAAAGTAAAAGAGCATCCGAGGCAACAAGGATGAAGTTGGGAAATTGAATACGGGAAATGACATCAGGATGAATTTGTTGGATGTCGCCTGAAAGGTTCAGAGGTCACAAACTGAGTGTATCATAGCAGGCAAATGTGATTGTAATTCTTCCATATTAAGCTTACAGTAAGGAACATGTGTCGAAATGTGTGAGTCAACTCCAGCAAAATCTGTCCCATACTGTTAAAAATATCTTCCTGGTTCAACTTAAAATCACAAGTTAACTAGCTGCCTCAAAATTTCAAGTTGATTGAAATCATTATTTCATTAAGTTCTGTTAAGCTTTGAATTGCCTTCTGTGAGTGATCATGACGGTTGAGTGATTGTTGTTTCAACTTAGCTGTGCAAGTTCACAATAAAGTGAAATCGATTATGAGCGCTCTGTTCACTAATCCCCATTAGTGTTGTCAACTCAGTAATTTTAACTAGAAGTGTTTTATTCATCAATATGAAATCTCTGTTGTTAAATTGCTAAACAAAAAGTATCACAATAATGATCTAAGCAGTTATACTTCAATACAATATTATCC